CCCTGATTTAGAGCATCCCTTTACCTACATCTGAAGTTAGGAGAAGAGGAGGAGAGAAGAAAACACTCAGCCTCCTCTTATCAAAGTTGCAAGACCATTTCTTTAGCCTGATGGACTGCATCTTGTCAAGAAGCAGCTTCATGTGCTTAAAATAACAAATAACCTAGCATCAGCTGGAACCATCTCTTACTTCCTTAAATTATTAATCATGCATTAAAAAAGTACATCCTCTTTCTTTCTTTCCTTCTTCTCTCTCTCTCTCTCTCATATTCCAGTTGGCTTGAGTGTTTCAAGATTTGGAACAGAGATGGGAATCATGTGGACTTCCAGAACATAACCAGTACAGCTGATGGTTTAAGAGGGCTGGGATTTGTAGTTCAATAGCATCTGTAGGGCTACATGATCCTCACTCCTGAACTAGAAACTCCTAGATGGGGGGGGGACAATCCTATTGCAAATAATGGGAGGGAATTAAGTTGTTTCAGCAATAAAATAAATGAACTGGTGAGTTCTTAAACTGTACATGCAACATCATTCACAGTCCTGTCTTATGAACTTTGCCAGTGCTACAAAATGTTCATGTGGCATGCCAGTTTTATCCTCTGTGGAGCAATTCTCTATACTTGAAAATTACATTGTGTTTGGAATGTGTGTGTGTGTGTGTGTGTGTGTGTGTGTGTGGGAGAGCCAGTATAGCAATGCTGCGTGGGTGATTTTTGCATTGTAGACTTGAGCTGTATCTTCTAGATCTCATATATACAGTTGGGCGCCTGTATCCACAGATTCTTTATCCACACATTCAACCATCCATACCTTGAAAATGCTGTTAAAATATATAAATTTCAAAAAGCAAACTTGATTTTGCCATTTAATATAAGGGGGCACCATTTCTATGCTATTGCATTTAATGGGACTTGAGCATCCATAGATTTTGGTAGCCAGGTGGGGTTCTGGAATACATAATACCGTGTACATAATAGAAATGGACCATTAGTTTTGTTGGTTATTTAATTTATTGAAGGGATGGCTGTTCTTAACCTTCAGTACTTGAAAACTCCTCTCTGATGAGCAGTTCCAGTTTTCCTTTGTGTGGGAAGTAATTAAAATCCTCATAAACAATTTTCTGCTCTTTCAGGCTTTTAAAAAATCTACCTTTTGTGTATGGGTGTGCCAAGCCATCAAACCTCAATGGCCCTTGCTTTGTTTGCTTTGATAGGTAAATCTTGCAGACACTGGTTTTATTTCTTCATTGCTGGTCTAAAATTGTTGTGTTTCAAATCTTTTGTGCTCTTTGTTTTTCCCGCATTGTGCATAGGATCATATCTTCGCAGTCATCGCAGCTCCTTTATCCTTATACCCCATGCAACCTCTCTAATTAGCTGTGACCATAATTTTCAATAATTGTGTGCATATTTTGGATATCAGGGGATATCAAGAGAAAGGTTTGGACTAAGCATGATAAGAAGATAAGAGCAATCACAGGGATCTGCTAGATCAGCCAAAGGCACACAGTGTGGAAATTTACTTTTGAAAAATAACAATTATTGTTCCAAGGCCCCCAAAGTAATCAGAACCCCCTTTTCAAAAGTAACTCAATGACTAACTTGTTGCTTTCCAAAAGACATATCATCTGAATGCTATAAATCACTGGGTTGTGCTACAAAGCACACTTTTCTCCTGTCTACCTTTTCCTTTCCTCAATAACTGCAATGGAGCACGAGGCAGCAACATGAGCCAGCACTGGAGCCATGTGATATTCCTCCTCCACCATTTAGTGAGGACACCCCCACACAGGACCTCTGTGAAAGTGTAAAAAAATGCAAATAAAAAAACCACCAATTTTTGTAACCTGAAATAACATCACCATGGTGCAGTAATTTGAGCGTTGGACTACGATTTTGAAGACCTGAGTTTGATTCCCAGTTCAGTCATGTAAACCCACTGGGTGACCTAGGGCAAGTTGCACTCTTTGTCTCAGGGGAAAGTAATGGCCAACTTCCTCTAAACAAATCTTGCCAAGAAAATCCTGTAACAGGTTCGACTTAGGGTCTCCGTAAGTCAGAAACGGCTTGGAGGCACACAACAGAGGACTCTCTTGGTCCTCCAGTGCAACTCTGTGGTCAACATCTGCTAGACGTTGACCACAGAATTGTGCTGGAGGACCTACAGATGCCTAAAAAAGAACTCTCTCTAGCAATCTCTAGGTTCTTTAGTGCATCTTTTCGTGAAAGCTGGACACAGAGTCATGCTGGAGAACCTAGACATTCCTAGAAAGAGCAAACTAATGGAATCTGCAAATAATCAAAGCTGCAAAAGTCAAAGCTGCAAATGTGGAAGGCCAGCTGTATTCCTGAACTGAAAATTAAAATTTAAAAAAAAACAAAACAAGCTCACTATCTCCTCCTAGCAGAAAGATAGGTGGGCTGTTTTCCTTGCTGAGTGCTCCTTCCATTCCATATAGTGATGATTCATTGCCAGAGGTGCTTTGCTCACCCTCTTAAAAATAGATGTTTGTGTCTCCTGCTAGCTCCGGCAACATCAGGGTGTGAGCCCCTTACAGATGTACGGGGCTCTAATCAGCTCCATTAAGAGATGAAACACAACCAGGCTGGAGATAATGAGAGAACGTTGCAAGGTCGAGTCACCAGCACAGCAGCGTTTGCTTAAAGACCAGGCAGCATCTTGGCTGTTTGGTGATTCATAGAGAGAGAGAAAAAAATGAGGCAATAGTCCCTCCCAAGCTTCTATTGCTGCTGAGGAGTTTTGCATCTTCAGCCTGGCTGGTTTGAAAGGAGAGATGCAATGACAATTGACAAATTGCCTTTGGCACCTGGCATTTGCCAAAAACCAACTCTGTAGTATAGGCTGCTGCATCCCCACTGCCAAAATAATCCAAATGGACCCCATTTTAACTCGTAGGATTGGTAGTTTGTTCTGGCACCAGAGCTCTCTAATGGAGAAAGTGAAATCTCTCACCGTATTTCCCAGAATTCCATAGCATTGAGCAGTATCAAACTGGATTACTTCTGCAGTGCACCCATAATCTAATTTTATGTGATGCCTTCCTTCTGCTGCTGCTGCTGCTGCTGTTCATTGTTGCTGCCGCTTTCTCAGCTTACATTGAAGCAAGAGAGAATACATACCCTTCAACATTTCACTAATGCAATGCCCAGGCTCCCTGGGTTCATTGCATCTGTTAAATGACTCAGGGCCAAGACCCCAACTTGTGTCCAGACTGTCTTCATGACACCCAATTTGGGGCTTCCTCCCCCTTGCATGCATTAAAACAATTCCCCTTTTGCTATGGGTGTTTGCCTCTCTTCCCACCAACGACAATGGCTGCCTTTTCACTCATGGTCCTTGTGAGCTATCGGTGCTGCCATTGTGGATGCAAGTTGCTCCAAGGACAGGACAAGGAACCCAAACTCAATAGCATAGTTGGGTGCCTTGCTTTGATCTTGGCAGCTGTGCCAGGTGATGAATGGGGACTGCGTGAGAAGGCATGTATGCTGGGAAAGCCCACAGCAAAAGAGAGCAGCCAGGATGGTGTAGTGGTTTGAGCATTGGACTGTGACTCTGGAGGCCAGGGTTCGAATCCCCACTCAACCATGGGAACCCACTAGGTGACCCTGAGCAAGTTGGTAATGACAATCCCCTTCTGAAGAAACTTGCCAAGAAAATCCCATGATAGGTTAGCCTTAGGGTCATGATAAGGTGGAAATGTCTTCAAGGCACACCGCCACCACAAGAGAAAGGTAGGGAATTTGGGGCCAGAATTCACCAGGGGCATTCCGAAATATTCTGGCAAATGTGGACCTATCCTTTTCCACTCCCAATCCATCTCTCTTCATATGGCTCTTGAGAGGTTTGCTTTTGAAGTGCTAAGCCTTTTGTTTCTGACACATTTGCCGAGAGAGAGTGGGCATCTTTGCCATTATGTCCTGTGTGGTGGGTAATACTGTCAGCGTAGCGTCCCATTTCAATAAACATTCAAGCAGATGCTCTTATTTATTTATTTCTCCCCTTTCTTTCTCTCTCTCTCTCTTTTCCATTACAACCTCAGATTAAAACAACTCCCAGAGGGTTACTTAGAACCTAGCCTTCTCCGTGTGTGTTTTCTTGTACTCCTACTTTGTTAAGCTATCCCAAAAGGAACTGGGAGGGGATGGATGGAAAAGAGAAGATTTTTATTACTTAAATGAGCTCCCAGCTAGTGTAGCTTAATATACTAACTAATTGATTTTTAAGGCTGGGAAAGCAGTGAGGTTTAATAGCATTTGCCGAGTCAGCTAGAAAAGAGAGAGGAAATTGCTTCCAGACATGAATGAAAGAGACCCATTTGCTTTGAGGACCAACGTGAGCACTGGGCACCAAACTGACTTTCTGTACTCATGTACTTAAAAGATTCATAACTAATTTTGTACATCAGCTCAAGGCACTTTGCAGTGGTCCCCCCCCCCCGCCCCAAAGAAAGGATTGGCAATGGGCTGCAATTGTAGAAAAAGGTAATGTCAGCACCAGATAACTTGTGCCCATGAAAAACTGGTAGACTCTAGTTCCCATCAACCCTAGCCATTCTGGTCATTGTTGGGGATGATGGGAGAATTAGTTCTAGAAAATGTAGAAGACTGAAGGTTCTCCACTTCTGTCTTAGGCCTTCTCTGCACTGGCCAAGATATTCAAGGGAGTAGCCCAAAGTATTCTGGTCCCAGAGATGCCATGAACCTCCCCTGTTGTAAAGGCCCACCATTGTTCACATGTTTCATGGTTGTTCACATGAACATCCATCCCACTGAGCCTCCCAGCATGGCTGCCGCCACTGTGGTTTATATCACTCTTAAGGTCAGAAAGAGGTGCCCAACCTCAATCATATGATTGGACACCTTGTTTTGACCTCAGAGAAAGCAACTGGCATTGGCAATGGACACACCGGATCGCTCAGGGGGATGTGTTTTGAACAACTGCCCCGGTGCCCAAAGAAGGGCTCCAAATCTTCCTGGAAGATCCAGAGTGAATGGCAACATTGAAAAATTTGTTATAAGGGCAGTATGCCCCAGATCTAATATTGAACATGCTGGGCATCATCCAATGTATTCACACCAGAACTGGGGTTTGGGCCATGCATCATCTGGACTTCCTGCAGAAAGGACACAAGGACTCCCATTTTATTTGGCCCATGCAGACAAGCCCTTAGACATCATTGTAGATGGGAGATTGGAGAAATGAACTCTTAGGTCTCAGTACGCCCCAGGATCTTGGAGGTGGTTTTGGTGTTGATGGAATGGATCGTGTTTCAGAGTTTTTGGGTGGAACTGCCATTGCTGGATGCTTTTCTACAAGGATCAAAATCAAGGCATGTGGTGAGAGACTTTGGCTTCTCTGCCAGAAAGCTCTAGTGCTATGAATCAAGGGAGTACAATAGAAATATCTATGTCCTTCATTATTGTTGTGTGCCTCCGAATCACTTCTGACTTATGGCAACCCTAAGGGGAAATCTATCATGAGATTTTCTTGGCAAGTTTCTTCAGATTGGGGCTTCCCATTGCCATCTTCTAAGGCTGAGAGTGTGTGACTTGCCCAAGCTCACTCAGTGGGTTTACATGGCCAAGCTGGGATTCGAACCCTGATCTCCAGAGTCATAGTCCATCTCTCAAACCACTATGTCACACTGGCTCTCACCTCCCTCACCAAATTACAAATCTCAGGATTATTATATAGACAGTTCCAAGATGGTTAAAGTAGTGTCAAACTGCTGCAATTGCACAATGGGGGCACACTCCCCTGGAGTGTGTTTAAGAACTAGTGGTGATGGTTGTCACACAGCAGCCTTAGAGGAAAGTTATGCAAACTTTAATGGACTGATTGCTAATCAGAGATTGGAAAGCTTGGCTCTCATCAGTTAATTTTGCCTCTGAATAATCTTTTCTTGATCTTTTATGCAACACCAGCCTGTGTTATCTTTGGGAATCTGTTTGCAGATCATAGGCTCATTAAATATTCTTGTTTTTAGCAGGACAGTAAATCCTCTTCCCTACCCTCAAATATGGTCCACTAATGAGCTGTGAGAAAAATTCAGATTCAGTGCCAAACCAATTTGGTTAAAAGGCTCGCCTGCTGTATTATCATTCGATTTTTCTCGACGAACGAAACAGGTGTAAATCACAGAAGCTGTCAAAAGGGAAGGGAGCTTCCTCTCAGATGACATTTCAAATCTTTAGATATCTCTCTTCCCCCCCCCCCATGGAGTACAGCTGCTTTCCTCATCTACAATTTTTTTTTTTTTTGGGGGGGGGTATTTTTATCTTCCTTGTGTTGGGTTCCCGGTATTATTTCAACAGTGGAGCTGAGTCATCAAATATAGGAACATAATGTCTCAGAGCTGCTGGTGTTTCCTTTTGGATGCAGAGCTAGCTGGGGTTCTCCCTTCCTCTGTTTTACATATCATCCAATGCTGAAGAATGCTGTCAGTATCTGTGGACAGCCAAAAAACAAAACATAACAAAACAAAAAACACTTGCCAGATCACCTTGGGCAATTAACAGCTGCTTCCAGGCAACCAAGCAATAAACCTTTTGCAAGTTAGAAGGAGTATTTGTGTGTACTTGTGCATTTTCTTTATATTTGCAGGGTATTGATACAGTGTTTACCTTTACTCTACTAAGTGCTGTGCTGAAATATTGCATATGGCTTCCACATCTGAACTAGTAAATTTCAGGGATTTGTTTGGTCTTTTTAAAGCATTACTCCTTCGCCTCCAAATGGCATGGCTTTCTTGTCTTTTGTTGGCTTTTCTGGGTGACCAAGGGACTCATTGTTTTGTAAAGCTTAAGATTCTGTGTGTACCCTTTCTTCCTATTTCTGAACAAGCAAATAGATAATATTGCTTAGATACTCTTTCTGGTCTTGTCAAACCAGAGAAAATGAAGTCTGGGGAAATCCATTTCTCCCAGCTGATTTGGATCTAAGCTCCTTGTAGGACACCTTATCTCAATCCCCTCAAATCTGTCAAGACCCATGGCTGTTACTGTTTTTTCCTCTTTTTCAATTGGTAGTACAGTGTGCCAGCACCATACGCAGGCTTGCCATACACAGACTCAAGGACACGCTGCAGATGGCAAGTCCTGGAAGAATGAATAGCGCATGTATTATGCCGCGTATGGGCGCGCACCCCCTTTAAAACAAATGGGGCTTGGGCTTATGTGTTTTTTGTGGGTGGGTGGGTGTTCCAGAACAGATTCCTTGTGTATAGGAAGGGCCCGCTGTACTTCTTTCCTGTTTTCATGATTGAAATGTCAAAGGTTTAAGCAGAAGCTGGCTGCAAAGGAGGCATGAACTTCAAAGTAGTTCATCTCAGTTGTGCTTTTTTGACTGAAGGATTAGATACCATCAGTTCATTTTGCAGCCTCTGTGGCTGTAGAAATGTTGGGAAATCAGGGATCACTTCCTGTCTTTGTGCTTCCTTGGTAAGCTTCATTGCAAAGAGTTTTCTATCTCTTCTTGTCACTAAAGGTCACTGTCATTGATGAAGTGCTTCTTGTGGATGAGATCCCTGTGGATCTAAGATCTAATGTCACCAGTGGGAGCCCTCACCCTTTATGGATGTCATTCTTCCTCATTTTGTTTTCTTGAAGGAAGCAACAAGTAATTTTTAGCAATTTTTCTTCCTACTGTGCAGTTTCTGAAGACTTTTCACAATGCAGAACTCATTGACAACTAACCATGGAATAACAGGACCAGACACAAGAGGATGGGCTGAAACAAGGGCCACTTTATTGATCTATAACATATTTAACCAAACAGGATCTGGGGATGAGCCAGGTCAAGGGAGCAACCTGATGTAGGTCCAGCTGATGCCCAAATATCAACCTCTGACCATCTTCTTAGCCTTTCCTTGGGTGAAACAGGGACAAGCCAAAGACAATCTAGACAGCCCTTTACTGGAAAGCAAACCCAGGGAGCTCTCTTCCAAGCTCGCAAGGCTTTATAAAAGAGAGTAAGCCCACAGGTGGATCCCAAGTGCAGGATCCTTCTCCATTCCTCACATCGATGCCTCATAGAGGCAGTTCCAGTGCCCAATCTTTTATCAAAAGGGTGCCAAGTTGTCCATCAGTCTCTTATGTTCTCTTCTCCCATTACTAGCCAAATGATACCTATTTAATGGCTCCACGCATAGCCAGTTATCTGTCTCCTTCCAGGTACAGGTCAGGTGGATTAGGTAAAACAAACAAACAAGCAAACAAAAACAGATAAAGTGTGAGGGGGAATTCTATCTGTCCCAGAAGTGACTGCACTGGGGGTGAGAGCTGGGTCACAGCGATCCAGGAGAAAGATGACACATGGAGGGTGGCTTGATAATTTATATTATATCTCTGCCCCCTGCATGGGACTGGGGCTTGGCATGAAATATCAAGCAAAACGCCTGCTGGTCTCTTAATGGAGGCCATCAAAAGCTCCCCTCCTTGCAGCATCTAGATGTGTTGTCCAGGAAGTGTATTCTGCTTAAAATTTGCACGTAGCTACTTTGTGCCAAAAACCGCATTATCTGCACTGAAACAGAATTTTCCATGATGAAAATAATATGTATGTGCAGAAACATTATTTTCTGTACA